TTCAAGGCCTAAGGGTGGTCAACAACCCTCAAACAACAAAACACTCTTAATAAACAATAAAGAGGGCCTAAAAACAGAACTTTTTTATGTTATACAATAATCACAAAAACAGCTCTAAGATAGGTATAAAATCAATGCAAAAATGGGGGAAAAAGGGACTAGAATCTCACCCTTGAAGACCCCTTTACAAATGGTGCTCCAATGGCCTCCTTGAGCTTGAATCCAACACCAAAACTTCAAAACAAACTCTTTAGAACCTCAACTCCAAGAGGAAGGTGAAACACTAGGTGTTTGTGTGCAATAGTAAGACACAAAGCACCTAGTGAACAAAATGAGAGAGAAAGAGAGATAGAATGTGTATCTCACCCAAACCCTAGAACAAGAGCTCAACAATGGCTGTTTTTGCTCTCAAAATATCCTAAGTCTCTAACCAAGCCTCTCCTTTTTTTGCCTTAGAGAGAGCTTCTCTCTATATTGTCTTGTAAAGCTTACAAGACAAGCTTTGCAAGAGGGAGATCCCTCCATACACGTGTATGGAGGGGAGCAAAAGCAAGACAGCTGTCTAAAAATATCTGCAAAAGCAGATGAACAGCAATCGGCCGGCCAAAAATGCTATCTTGGCCAAAAAGAGTGCCGACCGGCACAAAAAAGTGCTGACCGGCAACAAATAGTGCCGGCCGGCAAACTACATTGCCGGTGGCAGCAAAAACCAGCCGGTGGCATCTAGCCACTGCCGGTGGTGGGTGAGGATCGTCTACAACCCCCACCCTGCCTCTCAAAGGCAAGATGCAAGTGTTTGGTGCAAAACCAGACACTAAACGTTTGAGTTCGAGGATCCTGAGGCAAGGCGCGCGAGCCGAGACCTCCGGGAACTCCAAACGAACACAAACACGGATAATCACCAAGTGTTCAAACGGTGACGTCCAAGTCTTGAGGACGGTCAAAAATGGGGTGTCTACAGGATGTATTTTAGAAAATATTAATAATTTGTATAGGGAATATTTAATAAAATATGACATTATAAAAATAATTGTATTGCGACAATAATAAACCGTCGCTAATGTAATCCTCATTTCCTTATATTTTATTGGCGACAGGTTAACCCGTCGCATATACATATTAGTTCCAATCTTTTGCGACGGTTTCAACTGTCGTAAATAAATCTTTTGTGATGGTTTAAACTGTCGCCAATACGATATTAATTTAATACTACCTTTTTGGCGGCGTTTTAAACCATTGCTAATAATACTTTTTGCGACAGCAAATGCCGTCGCTAAAATGGTTTTTTGGCGATGGTAATCAACATCATTACTAAAAATGACGTTTTTTCCCCAATTTTTGTGTCAGGTTAAACCGTCGCAAAACCTATTGATTAGCCGTCGCTGCAGGGAAGCGATGGTTCGTAACCGTCGCAAATACCTTTTGTCATGCCCTCTTCCGCCACCTCCCATTTTTTGTTGCTACTCCATCGCAAAAGGTTTTTTGCGACAATATGCGACGTTTACAACCGTCACAAAAGCTCCGATTTTTAGTAGTGACTATGTTAAGCGATTCCAAGATAAGGCTATTGATTTTCATGAACCAATGGATGAGGCCCATTCAATCAGCATATGTGTGGAGGATGCCATGCGCGACTACAAAATTTTCTTGATAAATCATAATCTACCTACCTTTTCAGTCTTGGTTGAGGCAGCTAGGAACCTTTGTACCACTGGCCCTCTACATAGATCTCGTGATAGTCACCGCTACTCCCACAATAGCAGAGTTGCTACAATAACCTCTGTAGGAGGAAGCCGATCGCAAGGGGAGGCGTCATCCTCTCAGAAAATGATGAGTTATGAGGACATAAATCCATATCCTTGCAGCCTTGAGAATGTTAAGGCCTTGGTTAAAGAATGGGTAGCCGATGGTGAACTTACTTTGTCTTTGGTTTATGTCTCTTCAACCAAGAAGGACAAAGAAAGCCCAAATTATTGTATCTATCACAAAACCATTAGACACCCTACTAGGGACTGTTAGACTTTGAAAAGTATCTTTAAGAAGAAAGTTGACGCAAATGAGCTGAAGTTCAAAGATGCCGATAACCGTGATGTAAGGAAGGACCCTTATTCTAACCACAAGGAGAAGGGGAAGAATGTACATATGATTGGCTACCTTGGGCCTGTGCGCGATCAAGTGCACCTGGCGTCCTACTATGATAAGTTAGAAGAAATTACAACTGGTCAGCTCCCTAAGATACTACTTGCAGAGGCAAAATTCGCAGAGGATACTCATGCTCAGGCCTTGCAAAACTCTCTTAAGTTCCGTACCTTCTTTGACTAGCTGGGGCTGAGCCATGCTACCAAGTTGGAAGCAACAAAGACCCTCATTAACATTTCCGAAGTGCACTGTGCTGAAGTTGTTGAGGCTAAGGAGTATATGCCTCGGCGTATCTAGGAAGATTATAGGGCCATTTCTTTCTCAGAAGTAGATAGAGCATACACATTTCCTTATAACTGTCCTCTTTTTGTTATGGCTTACATCATTGATGTAGAGTTCAAGCATGCTTTCCTTGATGGTGCTGACACCTTTGTAAAGGTTGGTATCTCAGAATCCAGGATGGTTTGCCAACCCATCACCGTGATGGGTTTTGGTGGTGAGAAAAAAGTTACTAAGGGCCATGTTGTCGTGGACTTAGTAGTTGGTGAGATTCGTTACGTAACTAAGTTCCATGTGATTGAAGCAGACACAAATTACCATATGATACTTGGCAGAGCTTGGATGCATCGATATGGGGCTATCCCGTCAAGTTATCACCAATTCGTGAAGGCAAAGTTGGGAAAGCGCATAATAACCATAAATGCTTCTGAAAAGCCATTCAGAGTGGACGAGGCACATTATTCGAATGCAATTTTCTTTATTGAGTTGTCACGAATGAAACTCCAAGGACCGGTAAAGTTGCAGAAGTAAAATTACCGAAGTGGCAAGACATTCGGGATGTAGAGGCTGCTCTAGAAAGAAGTGGGCAGAAGAGGAGCAATAAGTCCACAAATCCTCCTCCCAAGATTGTTAAGGTGCGCGAGGGCGGCAAGATAGTTTACTACTTATGATGGTCTTGGGGGCTAGACTTCATACCTTGGAAGGATGTCCCCGAGACGAATAAATGTGACGGTGATGAGTTCCTAGAAGGGTTGGTGGAGATGCCTGAGCCCGCCCCTAAATACATACAAGATAGACCCAAACCACAGTAGGAAGTACGTGATGAGGTCAACCTCAGCAACTTACCAGGGTAGAGCAAGCCCGTGTTTATCAGCAATACAATGGCTCTAACAGCTAAGGCAAAATTGATAATATTACTGAAATAGTACAGTGATATCTTTTCTTGGATATACGACGAGATGCCTGGTGTTGACCTATCCCTTGTCACTCATCATCTTGACACTTTTTCCAACTCTAAGCCAATCAAGCAGCATGCTTAAAAGTATCACCCTGATCTTGAAGCAAAGATTAAGGCGGAGGTAGAAAAGTTGCAGAGGGCCAAGTTTATCAAACCTATACAGTACCCAACTTGGCTAGCAAATGTTGAGCCTGTGAAGAAGAAAAAACACGGCCATATCAAGGTCTGCGTAGACTTTCTTGACCTGAATAAGGCCTAACCGAAAGATGAGTTTCCATTGCCCCATATTGACACACTTATTGATTCTACTGTGGGCCATCAGATGTTCTCCTTCATTGATGGGTTCAGTGGTTATAACCAGATCAAAATGGCGCTAGAAGATATAGAAAAGACAGCTTTCAGAATGCCCTTGGGAAATTTTTTCTATATAGCGATGCCCTTCGGTTTGAAAAATACGGGGGCAACCTACCAACGGGCTATGACTACAGTGTTCCATGACATGTTGCATCATGAAGTGTAAGTGTATGTGGATGATATGGTGATCAAGTCTATTGAGGCAAACCGAAACCTCTGTGACTTAGAAAAAAAATTTCAGTGTTGCCGCAAATTCTGCTTAAAGATGAACCCTCTCAAGTGTACCTTCGAAGTTACCGCCGGCAAGTTCCTTGGCTTTCTGGTACACCAAAGAGGGATCAAAGTAGATGGGGATAAGATCAAGTCAATTATGGAGATGCCACCACCACACTCTTAAAAGGCCTTGAAGAAATTCCTAGGCAAAATGTCATACCTCAAGAGGTTCATTCCAGCCTTTGCTAAGATAACCTTTTCCTTTGGGACACTGCTGAAAGGGAATTACAAGTTTGAATGTTTGCAAGAACACCAACAGACATTTGATATGGTGAAGAAAGCACTTACTTCTCCACTTACAATGATTGCCCTACAATCTGAAAAGCCTCTGCTGCTGTACCTGACCTCTACACCTTGGTCTATTGGAGCTCTACTTGTCCAAGACATAGATGGCATTAAAAAACCAGTTTATTACATTAGTTACAAGGTCAATGTTACCGAGTCACGATATACCCCAATTGAGATGCATTGTTTAGCCTTAATCTTCACAGTGCTGAAGTTGTGTCATTATTTTTTAGCACATCCGATCCAGGTTGTGACCCGGAGTGATCCAGTCCGCTATTTGCTAAGCAAACCTGCTCTGACTGGAAGAATGGTAAGATGGCTTTTGGCTCTAGTAGAATATTACATCACTTGTGTTACTTCTAAGGCTATTAAGAGCCAAGCACTTGTAGACTTACTAGCCCAATTCCTATCTGGTGAACATGAACTAGCAGAAGTACCTCTACAATGTGAGGTCCATGTCTCAACAGCTACAGTTAGGACTTATTGGGACTTAAAATTTGATGGAGCTGCCGGAGCTGGGAAAAGTGGAGCTGGCATAACACTAACTAGTCAAGAAGGAGAGAAGTTTCATCTATCATATATGCTTGACTTCTAATGTTCAAACAACGAGGCTGAATATGAGGCGTTGATACTGGGTCTAATTGCTGCCCAAAAGAAAGGCCTCCACAAGTTGAAAATTTGGGGCGACTCCAAGTTAATTGTCAAGAAAACAATGGGTGATTTCGCCTTGAAGAAGCCTCTGTTAGCCCCATATCGCACCGTAGTTCAAAGGTTGCTCACTCAGTTTGATGATGTCCAAATCCAACATACCCCTCGAACTCACAACCGTTTCCTCGATGCCTTGGCTACACTAGAGGCAAATGTGGATATACCAGATGATAGTATAACCATCGTCATCAAGGAAAGAACAACACCAACAGTGTTAGCCGAAGAACATATAGAGCAAGATGCTGAGGGGTGGAAAGCAGATATAATCCAGCAGTTGAAAACAAGCCAGGGAACAATCAGACCAGCAGAACTTGCATCATTTTTGCTCCTCAGAGGAGAGTTGTATTTTCACGGTCCTGTCGGCAGACAAGAAGCAACTTACAAGCTTAAGTAGATCCATGCTAAGTCTTGTGGAGATGGAGATATTAGTCTATACCGACGAGTACAGAGGCAAGGGTATTATTGGCCAGAGATGGAAAAGGAAAGCACTGAGTTGCAGAGGCAATGTACAAAATGTTAGTCTCATCCTAAAGAGGAAGAAGCCCATTTCTTAAGCAGTGAGGAATAGAGGCAGTCGTATATTGACTATCATGGAAATGGCACACTGTCTGAGAATAAAGCCGATGCAATTAGAGTTAAGAGGCGGGCCCTTCGCTTATTCCTTAACGAAGGCAAGCTGTACTGCAGAAGCTTTGAAGGGGAACCTTTGGCGTGTTTATCAAAGGACGAGGCAAATGATGTGCTGAGGGAAGCCCACAAAATAGAGCATCAAGAAGGGTAGCGATTATACGGACATTTCATTCACCTCGGCTACTATTGGCCGAAAATGGAAGAAAATGCTAAAACCTTTGTAAGAAGATGCCAATCCTGCCAGAAGTTTATGAACTTGATACATGCACCAGCGATTGAGCTACACAACATTAAGACTCCTTACCTATTTCATACTTGGGCAGTTGACTTGGTAGGTCTTATAGCGCAGCAATCCAAAGATCACAGATGGATACTTGTAGCGATGGAAGTTAGCACCAAGTGGGTAGAGGCTATACCAATGAGAAAAGTAGATGGGGTAGGAGTGGCCAACTTTATCAAGGAAAACATAATCTGTGGGTTTGGCATACCCAAAGTAATGTTTTCTGACAATGGAACTTCCTTTGTAAATCGATATGTAGGAAGACTATTGGATGCCTACCAGATTAAGCACCACAAGTCTAGTCCATAGTATCCTCCAAGGAACAGACAAGCTAAGGCAACCAACAAAATTCTCATCCGAATATTGAGTAAACTGATGGATGAAGCAAGGGGCACACGGTCTGAACTCCATGTAGCACTCTGAGCGTATAGAACGTCAAAGAGAAGGCCAACTCAGGCAACCCCATTTTCCCTAGTATACGAGTCTGAAGCTGTGTTACCAACTGAGTTGGCAGTACCCTCAGTAAGAATGGCTAAGTCAACACACTTAGTTCTAGACAGTAGAAAGAACGACATAGGGGCAGCCGAAGAAATAAAGGATCGGGTCTCGCAGGCAATGGAAAAGTATCATCAATCCATAACTCGCACCTACGTCAGTTTGTTTAACACAGGGAGTTCAAGGAGGGGAACTTGGTATAGAAGATAGTGGACTCAATCATGCGGGGGCAACCAGTCCCCAAGTTCTCACCCAGATGAGAAGGCCCCTATAAAGTTAATGAGGCAAGCAGCAGGTATTACAAGTTGACAAGAGTAGATGATGGGTTCAGAACTGCCCCTATCACCGCCAAGTATGTCAAAGAGTATTTTTCTTAATTTTTTTTGTTCAGAAAAAAGAGTTGTAAGTTTCTTTGTTAATCCTTCCAAAGCAAAGTGTAAAGAAAGTGTCATACACTTAATAAACCTGTTACCCTTGTAAACACTTAGTGCAAGAAAAGTTTTCCATACTTAATGAAATTTTAGCCTTATAAAAACTTAGTCATGGTGAAGTTCTGTTTATAGCAAGAGTATTGCTCATCCTTAGAAGCTATGTAAAGACAATGAAAAGAAGACAGTGAAGTAAAATTCGACTACTCAGTATCTTTGTTCCTTGTAAACATCAAAGTTTTCCATAGCATGATTACAATGTTTGAAGGAAAAAGAAGAAGAAGGAAAAAAGATAGCAAAAGTACCAAGAAAATGAGCCATAACAGAGTCACAATAAATCAAATCAAACCCTTCATGAGGGAGTCCATCAAGGTCACATCACTAGGCAGCTAAGCAACCAGCACAGAGTCTTTCTCTTTGAACCGAGCCAGGTTCTACTGATGCTGCTCCAAGGTACCCTCACACTCGTTGATAATCTCCTCCAAAGATGCAATCATCGCGACATTATCTGCATGTTCAAAGAAACCATCGACTGCCTAAAGCCTATCCCTCATCCACGATAGATCCAAACCGTTCCTCTCAAAGCCGCTCAGGTTGGCCTCTGCACCTTCTGCGAACTTGCTAGGGGTTATCAGAATCTTCTTCGTAGCAAGGTCGCGAATGAAGCTGGCAAGTGCCTCTAGTAGCGTTGTCTGCACCATAGATCCAGGAACATTAAAAGTAGTAAAGGTACCGAGGTGCAGCGCCTAGATGCGGGCAATAGTAGGAGTAGCTTCGGAGGAGAAGCGATAACTTAGAAAAGAAACTTTCCCTGAGGACTGTGAGGACTCTCTCACACCGCCACCAGCTTTAATTACTAGAAGGAGACTATTAGAGTGACCAAAGGTCTAAGGGCGACGCACTTCTCCCGAAGATGAATGCCCAGCAGCATTAGAATGGGTAGATGTTGGGTGGCGACCGGGCGAACTGGCCTCACAAGAAAGGCCAAAGCTGCCTACACCATCATGTCGCTCCGAAAAGAGGTTGTCCATATGGTAGTCCTCAACATTCAGATCTGGCACAACAGTGGTGTCCATGCCCACATAAAAGTCTTGTGATATCCCAAGATTAGCTGGCACCTCAAGGAAGTGAGTGAGGTACAGATCAACAAGCTGGTTAGAAGTTGCTGAGGCAACTGGGTCAAAAGCATCAGCAACAACAGTAGTACTATGAGCGGCCAGATTAACAGCTGCCTTCATAAGTTGAGCCAAGCTTAGGGGGTCCACAGTAGGACCAATGGTTACATCTGTTCCTCCCTCAGTAACTTGAACATTGGGAAGTGGTGTCTGTGGAACTAGTGGAGACTCAGTGGACTGGGAAGAACCCCCAGACACAGCTCCCAAGGGGGGTGGTGCAACTTCTATTGGCTCTCTTACGCCACGATCCTCTCTCGGAGTCTCTGGAACAAAATCATCTCCGTTGACAGAGGAACAGTCAAAGTGAACAGAATCAGCAGGGTTTAGAGGTTCTGCACCCTCAGCAAGTATACCACCCGCTGCAACTTCCACAGCAGGAGGACTTATTCGTTTTCTACAGCCTCAACAACTGGCTCAACCTTAGTAGTTGGTTCGGCCTCAGCATTTGGTTCTTCTTCAACATCTGGAAGTACAATCTTGTGGGTTCTAAATCTTGTGACCCTTGAAGTAATGAGAAGGTCGTCGTCGTCGTCGTCTGAATCTGAGGAAATTCTGATGGTAGTAGAAGAACCTCCGGGGCTCGAATGCGGTATGGTCGATGGGCCCTGAAAGGAAAAAATCATGTGATTACTAAAATAAATGTAAAAAGCCCAAGGAAGTAATGCAAGAATATTTTCCAAGTATGGGTACCTTTCGGAGTCTCTTCCTACTTGGTGAGGCACGTGCCTCAGCAACTGATGTTGCTGCCTCCTGGGCCGCCCTCAATCTAGAACGGGTCATGCACACTGTTACACCAATTGGGGAAAGAGCAACTTGCAGGGGTTAGACGAACATTGCCCCAAATGGATGAGGCTTCTTTACTGTAGGTAGGGACAGAAGCTTGAAATGGCAGAATATACTAGTATGTCTCCCTCGACCAGAGGGGAGACGAAGGAATAAGTCAGGCTACGGAATAGGTTCCATCGCAAGGACAACAGGAGCATTGTTGCAAAATTTGAAAAAAGAGTCGAGGTTGCGGTGCTAGAATAGCATGTTACTAGAAGTAAAGGCACATTCTCGTCCAAGTAAAGGAAACTCCATGAGGCCTAAGCCCTCCACGAGTAAGGCGGTGTAGTCACAAGCAAACCTTTAGAAACTCTGATGAAAATCTTTTTGAGGCGGAGGGGCGTGAGGGATGCTCTGGTCTATGCTGAATTGCCTAAGGACCTTATCTTGTCAATAGACAACACTGGACATGACTACCTTATTCCATACGGGCAAAAACCTGGGGCGTATCATGGTAGCTAGTAAAAGAGAGTTGGCCTGGACGCTGTCAAGGGAGAAATCAACATGACGAGCCTCTGAGAAATAAAATGGGACAACAGAAATGCCTGGAAGAAGTTGGGTAAAAGGGCGGAACACATACTCCTCCATGTGATTGACGTAATCCACGAAGTGTCTGTTGGTGCCAAGACCAGACCATTGGGAGATGCGAGGGAGGGATTGGGGCACTTGTCTTATGATAGGTTGAGCCTCTGCATCTAGAACAGGACGACCCTCTACATCAAGGACTTCGTTGGTGAAGAAGGGCTTATGCTCTTTAGGAACAGGTCCCATAGTAGGGAATCACTCGTAGAAGAAGTAAGGCAGAGCAAGGAATCCGTGAAATTCGTAATCCGATCCAGTCCAGTCCAATCCAGTAGGTTTGGATTAGTTTTTTTAATCCGTGGTTCGGTTCCGGATTAAAAAATTAAAAATCCGTAGTTCACGAATTAATTCAGGATTGAACCCCACGGTTCCGGATTGGAACCGATCCGAACCATGTACAAATATTTTTATTATACACTCTCCTGCATAGTATCTTCTCTTATTTCATATAAAACTTAAATCCAAACCTAAACTTGTATAATATCTTCTTTTATTACTTTTGTTTGCTAGTTTTTAGTATTAATTTGTAATGGTCTAAATACTTATAGTGGAACTAGTTTTCTTATGGTTGTTTAAATTCTAAAACAGTTTGTCGCTATTACGAAAAGACATGTTACTATTATGAAACTAATATGGTGCTATATTTATATTTTTATGAAATTAAAGTGTTATATATTTATATTTTTTGTTATTTAATTATGTAAATCTGTGGTCCTAAACCGATCTAATCCGTGTTTAAATGGATTGGTTCGGATTGGTTCCACGATTTAAACGGATTGGATAGGTTCCAATTTTTCAGGATCCGTTGATAATGGATTGGTCCTGGTTTTACTCTAATCCGGTCCAATCTGGACCATGCTCACCCCTAAGAAAAAGGTGGTTAGGAACCGAGTGTGTACAAAGCTCCATACATCATAATGACCCATGGACCTCTCCATGTCCGAGTGAATGAAATTAAGGCGGAAGTATAAGTTCCCCA